TCTGCAGAGCTGCATTGTGACTTTTTTTCGGAGCTCGTAAAAAATCTCCTCCATTAGCATCACCATTAGCAGGTACGTTGCTAATAACACTGTATAATCTCATACATATGTTTGTCATCAGGCTCTGTTTTAACCATCTAAATAATTACCCCCAATAAATAACTCTGGACCAGGGGTCTCCTTTTGAAACTAAATATCTGGCCAACTCTGGTCTAGCTCCATGTCCAGTTTGTGTTTTATTCATCTGACACTACATAATAATGGCTATGTCTTTTTTAAAACTAGCTGTCTCAAAGGGGACATCTGTTATCTTCTCATTTTTGTAGCTAAATATCCACTTAACTTTGTTTTAGCTGTTTGTAATGGTACATATTGACAACTCCTACTCTCTCCTATTTTTACTCTAATTTAATATACAAACCACTATATAACACTACTAACAAACCCTAATAATAAAAATAGCTGTTTCACACCTTAACTCAAGGAGATCTGCTGTCTTCTCATTTTGGGGCGGGACAACGCTTCTGATTGGATAACCTTTCACCTAGAACTGTCAAATCGAGTTTGATGAAAACTGGTCTCTATACTGTGTGTGCCATTGCATTCTGACTCACGTGATTTGTTTGCTTTCACATATCAGGGTTGACTCCCCCTCCATCTTTAACCACGTCTTGCGACAAAACTTGAAAGATCTATCATGTCCAGCGGGGGTCACTTTGTTACAATATGTTGATGATCTTTTGTTAGTGGCTCCTGACTCAGAGACCATAATGACAGCCACTGGCTCTTTGCTGTCACATTTAACCTGGAATGGCTTCAAAGTCTCCAAGGACAAATTGCAGATTGGGAGACCTCAAGTCTCCTTTCTGGGATGCGTGGTGTCTGCTTCTGGCCTACACATGACTGAGTCACAAAAACCTGACATTTTCTCACATTCTAAGCCCACTACTGTTAAGACCATGATGCAGTTTTTAGGACTTATAAATTACAGCAAGAACTTTGTGCCCAATTTCACCGGCCTTGTGGCACCTCTCTGTGCCATGCTTACAGAGGTGGGCTAAAAGAACTATGGTTCTACCTTGTTGTGGACTCCACAAGCAGAGGAAGCTTTTGTTGCTATAAAACAGGCTTTGGCACACACATGTGCTTTGCATGCACCTGACTACCAGCCTTTTCATTTGGATGTTGATGAAAATGACGGCACTGTGAATGCCGTCTTATTTCAAAAGGGGGATGAAAGTAGAGGACACAACTGAAAGGTGTTGATGTACTACAGTTCTAAGTTGGACAATGTTGAAAAGGGACATCCAACTTGTGTGAGACATGTCGCTGCGATCGGTCGAGCGATACTGAAGACTTCACATATTACAATGGGTTATCAAACTGTTGTACACACTACACATGGTGTCAGGGCATTTCTGGATTCCAAAGCTTTCA